GGATGGTTGGCTCGAGGAAGAAAGTAGTTGCCCTGAGTCTGTGGTTCAAACCCTGCCATTGCTCGTACGAACTCTCGGGGGATATTGGTGAGATAGCAGTTGGTCAGAGCATCATTATTCCATCGGCCAGCCCGGCGAATCTGACCCTCTGACACCCCATTCAGTTCATCATATCTGAACCTCTGACTCTGACCAAGATGAGTCTTCTTGCTTGACAGAAGCCCAGCTGCTGCATACATGTGATTGACCCACTGAAAGCTGAGTATCATACAAAAGAGGCTTGAAGGGATCCTGTTCACAGAGAAGGTGGATATCATATCAGAGAGAGCATCTTCGAAAGTCTGGAAGACTTTTCTGTACAATATTCCAGCGGTAGAACAGATAGAATGTCAGATGAGATATTGTATAGAGTAGAGGATTCTTATGTCTCATCACAGCAGCATACTCCAGCTGCCTCAGCTGATTGGTCTTGCCATTATCTGTGATGAGAATCATAAGCCAGCATGGAGTGGGCCTCTCATTTGAAAGCTGAAGGGTGAAAAGGTCAGGCAGCTGTGCCGTACGGGATGTTTCCTCCTGCAGAAGCATGTTGTGATTCATGAGGAAGTTCAGCCCTGTACAAAGATGGCTCATCACAGATGTTTGATCATTTTTATACCAGTCAGTTCAGCGAACTTCATCAGATGAATCATCATCTTCTCATTGTATTCATTCTGCAGAGTATTGGCCCCCCGATCCACATACTGTGCCTGCTTTTGTACAGACTCCTTGGTTTCATGTGTACAAAGAACTGCACTGATCAGCTGTCCATGTGAATGATCAGAGAAGTTGATTCCTCTGCTCTTCTGAAATCTGTACAGATCCACCACGGCTGCCACATATAGCTTGACTGTGCTCTTACCCACAGTCTGCAGCACAGTGTTGCCATCCCTGTCCGTACGAGCTCTCTTGCTCTTATAAACAGAGCCCTGCAGTGGACGACAAAGCACCTTCTCCTCCAGAAACCAGACCAGCTTTCTCTCTGTCACCATCTCCCCATCTTTAAAGCTAGTCTCCTTGTAGAAGTCCTGTACAAAGAGATAGGAGTTAGAACTAGAATGATCAATCTGGATGCAGAGAAGTAGTGCTACCTACCCACCATTCTCTCTGCTTGGAGAGATACTGCTTATTGGTATTCTTTGGTCGATTCTGCAGGGCCAGGGCCAGGGCCTTTTCCCTGTACAAAAAGAGGTCTTTGCTGATCTGAAGCTGCCGCTCCACCTCTGTACAGTCAGCTAGAGATGTCATGATGAAGAATACAGAGCAGGGGTGCTTAAAAATCTATTCTTGAAGGATGATGCCTGCTCGTACGGTATGAATCAAGTGGGGTTGAATGTATGTACGGTATAATTAAACACTAAAAAGTTATCGTGGGGCTTGGCTAACATACATAGTAACATGGGTTATAACGCCACCCAAACCCCCCCCCGTATAACCACTAGTTAACCCGTCAGAGCTTGATATTATGATCTTCTTGTGGTTATCGGTGTTGGAAAGGTTCCAGGGGTTATCTGGTTCTCTGGAGTCTGGTGTTTCTTCACAGTTGATTCCTCACATACTAACTGGCATTTGATTATCGTTGAAGATATTGGGTATCAGGGTATCAAAATGAATTGAAGAAGAAGTTCTTTAACAAAAGATTATTGCAAGTTATCACTTCATAAAAGTGCAAGGGCTTCATAACCTGTAAGAGGGTTAAACCTTGGTTGGTTGTTATAATCTATCTAATGGCGAGCTATGTAATATATGTGTGTGGGTCACGTGGGATATGTAGTAGCTCCTACACAATCACACAACAACATTATCCTCCTACATAGCCGTAGTACCCACTAACTTAACATGCATCATCCCGCTTATGTCAGCTCTGATGTTTCCTTTCAAAATTCATTTCCTCCATTGCAACTAGACATATATAAAAAAACCTGAGATCTATTATCTTATACTGGATAACAACAAGGAGCTGGCATGGCAGCTCTAAGACTCCCATTCCTGTATCCGAACCTACTGCGTTCAGTAAGGGCCTGTGAGCCGACAACTTATCGCTCGATAAAACTACCCCCACCACACCAAACCTCAGGGCTATACTCATCCTTTCATACCAGCCAACGCCATAATGCAGAACCATTCCACCAGCGATATGGACAAGCTGCAGAACCTCGAATGCCTCCCCCCCCGAAGCCAACGGATAAAGCTGCCCCAGAGGCTAGCCAAACCGCTTCGGGCAAGAACAACAAGAGGACTAACGAGTCTGAGTCAAAGGATGTAAAAGATGCGGGGAAAGAAGCTAAATACGATCCTGGATCCAAGAAATCCTCACCCTCCTCATCCGCAATCTCCGCCTCCTCAACGAACATATCAGCGGAGTTACTTTCACAGGACAATGTAACAAGCCACCCGGTGCAGAGGACGGACACCGGAGCTGCGGCAGACGAAGAAAAAGTTGACCCATCGAAGGGTCCTCAGGATTTTGTATTTCAAATGCCGGTGCCCATTTCTTCGTCATCACCTACGGGTGAGGCTCCGTCTGAATCCATGTTGTTGGGTGATTCTCAACACCATAAACCTCCTCATCTGAGTCCACACCCATACGTACACCACTTCGATACCTATTCCTTGGTGAAAGATCTCGGTCGTTCTGGTTTTACAGAGGAGCAGTCCGTCTCCATTATGAAGGCAATACGTGGCTTATTGGCTGACAATTTGGAGCTGGCGAGGAAGGGCCTCATATCCAAATCCGACGTGGAAAACGAGACATATCTTTTTCAGGCCGCATGTTCGGAGCTTCGAAACTCCCTTCAGACCTCCCGAAATGCAGCCATACAGGCTCAGCGCTCACAACGTGCCCAGCTGCAACACGAGTTGGATATCCTGACGCAACGCATGACGCAGGAACTGGCAGGGTTAAAAGATGACTTGAAGGAAATGTTCGATGATCAAAAAATTTCGACGAGAGAACTACAGCGCTCACTGGATACGGCGATCCAAGAATTGAACTATCAGATCACGGTGTCGCTGAATAGTGATGGGAAGAGCGAGGTTGAGGGGTTACGGTGGATTTTGACGAGGAGGGCCGCTTTGGCTATTGCCACAAGTGCCAGTCAGTTCCCTTTTTGCCTCATCCCACGCCTTTTTAATCTTCTTCTTCTTCTTCCTTAAAAAAAAATCACTCTAGCTTTTGACTCCCATACTGACTGGTTTCCTAAATTAGGCATGATCATCTTCGCTCTCAGGTATTTTTCGTATAAACAGCGCGAAAAAGAAACCGCTGCAAAAGCCACTACTGCTGAGGTGAAAGTGATTAGCTATCCTGCGTCGGATCAGCCATTGCCACCTGTTGCTCATCCAGCGTCAATGGTCGTGGAGCCGATTGGATAAGACCCAAAGGATGTCAGAAAGCTCATATACAAACTAACCTTTTCTTGCATATAATTCTAACCCACATTCATTTTATCCGCCCCTAGATATTTTCACCTTTGCTTCCCTGGTCGATGATGAACTTGCTAGAACGTTAGATTTCTGTCGCCTGCTTGCGCATCCATTTTGGAACGCTCTATACCGCAATTAATTATTCAAATGGTATATAGAATTATTTAATTCCTCGAAAGGTGGAGGAATTTCGAGTCCCGCTTCCCAGATGGAAAGATTGGTTACGGAATTTTATTCGGAATTTTATTTGGAATTGGCGCATAAGCGCGATGAGGAATATAAGCGTTCAAATAGACTACGGACGTAATAAGTTCGCGATTGAGTCAACTGGACCGGTACAGTGCATCCGAAGTCAAACAAAGGAAGTCTAAAAGTCCATCCGCAATGCAATGCTCGGCACATTTTGTTCTTCACCATCTGCCCCTTCAGCACCATCCTTGCCTTGTTTTCCACCCACACCCCCAATTCCCCCCTTTCTCAGAATCTCCTCTGTAAATGCTCGTTGCTCAGCATTCATCCGGGTCACCATACCCCTAAATGTCTGTGCATCGATCTTTGCTAGCTCAAGAAGCGCAGCAGCTATCTCCTTATAAGTGCTTTCCCCTTCATTCCTAGCGCGCATCAGAAGCGCCGGGATAAGTAGAGCCATTGCCATCGGCACATTCGCTGGCGCAATTGTCCCTAACCCAATAAAGGAGGCGAGCGTAAGGGTGACAGTTCCCTTGACATTTTCGGGGTCGACAGGTGCCTGAAGTTCGTTAGTGGGAAGGCTCATGATGAATGCGACGAGTCGTGGGAAGAGGAAGCGAGCTATAGCGTCGTCTGTCGGGGAGCGAGTAGTCTGGGGGCATGGGCTAAGAAGGATGGAGCGGAGGCAGCCTGCAGCGACGGTAGCGAGGCCCAAGTCTTGTAAACAATCGAGAAACTCGGACAGTATGCGAGGGATTAAGGGATCTTGGGGTGGAATTACATGGCTGCTTGTTGTCAGTATGATGGTTAGGGATAAAAGTGTGTTTTTGGCGCAAGGGAGGGAGGTCTCTGATTCGCGGCGCTGGGCAATTGTGAGGGTTTGGAGAAGACGGGAGATGCAACCGCGAATTTGACGAGAGACAATTTCCGGGGCTTCTGCGGGAGGAGGTGGTGCTGTGGAGTTGGTGAGTGTAGGGGGAGTAGCGGTTGACATTGATGGGCGGGTGATGCCCTGAATGAAACGGCGAAATATGGGGAGAGCTTGGGGGACCACTTCGGCTTGGCAGATGCCTGTGGCCAGGATTGTGGTGAAGATATGCAGGATACAGGCGCGGAGATCGGCGCGGATGATGGAGGGGAAAACAGAGGTGACATCGACAAGCGAGGAGAGGGATAGTGTAATAAGGGACGCCGCTTCGTCGGATACATAGAAGCGAGTGTGTGTTGGAGATTCACCGAGATTGGGTAAGAGCCCTGTAAGGACAAGAGTGATGTTTCGTGTGAGTTCGAAAAGTTGCTCAATATCGTCCGACAGATTGTCAGAGCGAGGCTGGTTGTTGAGTGCAGAATGATGGTGCAGAGCAAGATCTCGTGCCATTTGGACAATGACTGTTTGCACACTGGAACCTTCGGTCATCACTAATCTGTCTAACGTATCCATTGTTTCAGAAAATACGGCGGGTTGGTACACTGCATTTCCTGCAACAGATGGATGCAGGATTTTTCGCAAGGCTCGCAGGATTTCCAGTGACTGATTTGATTGTTCATGGCTTTGAGTAACAAGGGCCTCGAAGGCAAGGCCAAAGAGAACGAAAAAGAAGGCGACCGGTTCGTCACGATAGTTTATATGGGTTCCTTTATCCTTCTCACCATTTGCTTGGGGTTTATCCGGAGTAACTACTTCTTTTGACGGTTCGAGTTTCCCGTCGAGGGCATCAAAAACAAAGTCGCTATCTTTCTCAACCAAACTAGCGATCGCATCAACAAAATTCAGCCAGGAATCTTGATAAAACTAATCGAACATAAATGTCAGTGGTGTAGAGCAAGACATGGCAGAGCCGGAACGCATACCTTCAATAATGTTTCCCGGTTCAATGCTGCATATACTTCGTCCAAATTGTCAGACACGCTAGGGCCAAGAGTGCTGGATATTTCTGGTTCAAATCTGAGGCGTGCAAATTCCTGGAGGGAGGCAAGCCAAAGCGGAGTGAGAATAGCGGTATACGGTTGCACAATCTGAGCCAGCCAATTCTGGTCGTTGCTTGCTATCTGTAATTTAGCCCAAGCAGAGAAGAGCGCAAGCTTCACCATAACACGCGCATTATAATTAAGCCCATTGAGATCACCGATCTCTGTGGTGTCATTCCTGTCTGAGGAATGAAAGGACGATTAGCATAGTTCTCAGCTGCTATGGATGTAAACACACATACTCGCAAAGTTGTCGAGGCCAACAACTAGCAGTTTGAAAATACGACCCATGCGATCCACGTTAGTTACGATTCCAGTACCAACGAAGGTTGCGCAAACATTAATCGCCTCCGAGGCTAACTCAGATGACGAGTCCGCTGCAAATGCGGGAGTTAACGCGGAGCTAATCTGAGCTTGATATTGTTCCAAGAGTGACGCTTCTGCAAAATCGGGATCTGGCGTTTTGCCAAACATCTAAATAATTTTCGCTTTTAGCAGATACTGAGAAAGATTGAAAATCAGCGGTCACCAACCTTCAATATTTGATCAATTATCTTCAAACCCCAAACTCGAAGTTCGATGACATTGGCAGTTGATGCAGAAAACGCCATTCGAATGATATCGCCAACTCTTTCTTGCAGGGCCATTTCCGCGGGGATTGTTTGATCGGGCAATAATTCTTTGCTGACCATGGACAAAAGCTCACTTAAGCAGCTCATAACGAAATTTCTGGTTTGCCATCTTAGCAGTTCCTGACCAGAGGAAGACTCGTTGACTGGTTCGCCGGGCTCCCCTCCAACGGCTGCAGCAAATCCCGCTACTTCGTCGTCTGCAATATCATGAATAGGAGCGGTATTGACCGTGGCGGGTTGAGGAACATCGTGTTGTTTCGATCGTGTCTTCGTGAGGACTTTCTGAAACCGTTGTATCCAAACATCTGTGTCCGTGAGCCCAGTTTGCTGCATCCAATTGTGGATAATGTTTTTTAACGCTTCGTTATCCGTCGCAGTGTCAAAGGCGAGCCAAAATTCATCCTCAAGACTTGGCAAGGCAGTCCGAACAACCAAATCGGCATCCCTTTTCATCAAGTTGTTGAAACCTCGAATAGAGGCATCCTGCATGGACGCTTTTTTGGATGCAAGTTCTTGTTGAAGCCATCGAACATAGGCCGAGAAGTCCAAGTGGCTTGGGGCATATAAAGATAAATGGTCCAAACATTTAGAGCTTTCTACTACCAAGGCTGTTGACTTTTCAAGCTGAAATTCCTTGACGAGTGTGAAAATTAGTTCTCGAGTTTTTGAAATATCCCGTAAATCCGGACCAAGCACGTTGATCAACGAATCAACACAACGGCTAATAGATACAGGAGTGGGAAATGCGGCTTCCAGATTGGATGTTGTCACTGACGAGGCCTCTTCGTTATGGGTATCGGCTATATACAACCTAGCAAGCATGCCGAGGGTGCTTGACACATAGGCTGAAAATGTCAAACCTGCAGATTCTGCCACTCGCCCTACGCCTTCTAATGCCCAAAAATGAACTATCGGATGTGGATCGCTACAGAGCGACATGAGGACGCCCACAATGGTTTTCAAATGGAAACCAGCTGCCATGCCACCAACTTGAGAGTGAATACAACCTAGAGCAGTTGCACACCCAGCACGCGTGCTAGGATCTCGGTTTTCGACAATCAAATCGACTAGGGAATTGATTTGGCTATTCGTAAAGGCATTGCCAGAGCTATTGCATAACAATCCTAGCGCTTCGGATCCTATATACCGTACAATAGGATCGGCGTGGATAGCAAATGTCTACTCATCCTTAGTATATATAAATCATTGTGCGGAACGATCGGCTTACCTGAATAAGCTCCTGCATAACCTTCTCAGTTGCCGGATATCTCAAGCTCCCAGGCGCCGATGGGGTCCCCTTCACGGCAATTTTAAGAGTAAGGAGCAGGGCCACAGCAATATTGACGGTCATGGCTGATCTTCGCCCAGGGTTGCGGTTTAGACTTTGGGCAGAGAGTAATGTGGCTATTTGCTCCACACTACTTTCCTGAACCTTGGGGGATTGTAATGGCAACGCCTTCGCAAATAAATCTATTGCAGCATTTACAACTTCAGTGTCGGGAGGGTCCGAGTACGAGCCGCCATCTCGATCAATCACCGAATAGAGGAGTACAGAGTCATGCTCCATTGCTTGGCATGTAGGGGACAATAACTACAGAGAGCAGTTAGAATTGCATTCGCCGAGGTATTTGGTTCAAAGCTTACGATATGGTCAATTGCTTGGTCAGACAATTCCACTGCTATCCAACCGGGCGAGTTATCTCCTTTGCGACGCCCAGAGATGATCTCGACAACATACTCATGTGCTAAACCGGTTACACCAAATCCAAAATTATCGTCAAGATCCCATATGTTATCGAAGTGAGTAGTCGAACTAGCAATGGATGTATCAAATGGATTTGCCGAGACAACCTCTGGATCAGCAAATGATGAGATTGCCAGACCTAAGATATTCGATAAAGAAAGAACTTCTGAATTCGCATGGTCTACATTGACTATCTTGGAAAAACACTGCAATACACGTCGACGAATCATTGTAGCGAAATCCTTTAATTGTAGCGAGGGCGATAGCCGTTGAGATAAATCTTCCGCGGATTTGAGTTTGGGTAGGTTGTCCAAAAACATCACCGTATTCTGAAGCATCGCAGCAATACGTCTTGATCCGTCTGCTGTTACGAGGTTGCTGTTAAACTCTAAAAAAACGTAGATTGAACCGAGGGCGCATTCTCGGACGTGGGCCAGAAAACTCATCTCCAGAGGACCGCGTTGAGCCAGGTTATCTTTAGGCAACGGTTTTGGAAGTGCATTTTTCCATAACAGGAGTAGCTGGTTGAGGTGTATTTTAGTGAAGCTAGGTCCAAGTGGCATTAGACCTCCAATTAAAATCCATGCAACCTGTATTTGTGTGCTTGCAATTCTCAATTCCAAGCTACTACTTGTTTTTAGGAGATCTGTAGCTCGTGATAGGACTCGTGCGTATACATCGACGGAGCCATACAGTGGCTGTAGTCGAGAGGTACTTAGCATAGACGCTAAACCGTGGGCGTATCCAAGGCATCGTCTATTGGAATGTCGTGGAGTGGATAGCTGACCAATCTCTCTGTTGAGGCTATTCATGCAGACCGTCACACAAGAGAGGAGTTGCTGAGGACAAGCAAGGACAAAGTTGCGCAAACACCTGGCAGTGTGTATTTGAACGGTGTAACTAGGATGCTGGAGTATTTGGAGGAGCGCATCACGACAGCTGTCTCCGATAATCGCGAGGGCAGAGCCTAACGAGGATATAATGGCAGACAATGCACTCAGGGTGCATGTTAAAGTGTGCTTGCTTGGTTCGGGTCGCTCTTGGACTACTTTCGGATAATCTTTGAGCACGCCATTAACCAGCCATTTGGCGGCGTTAATTCGACTGTTTTCGCGAAGTATCTCACAGCCCACAGTATCCTCCAACAAGTTCCTGATAAATTGCCTGGTCATCAGGAGTCGGTACCGATTGTAAGTTATGGTTGGGTGGTTTAATAGGGTAATTAAAAAATGACCGGCAATTTCCGCATAATGCTCTTCAACAAAGGCATTGCCGAGACCTCTGAGGATCTGCTTATAACACATACAAATTCCTGCTCTTGCACGGTTACCGGTTGAGCTTCGGCAGTACTGCAAAGAAAGTTGTTTTAAAAGCTCAGGGAGTTTGAACGAAATATGAAGGTCCACTTTTCGGCCTGCAGGGCGCTGCGGCGATTGCGCTCGCTCAGGTACTCCATCACCGTCAGGGGAAGTTGTCTGTTTCTTTGGTTGCTTTTTGGGCCGTCGAATGGTCGGCACTTCCTGCGCCTGGTTTCCATTTGCGTGAGCTTTGATTAGAAAGGCCGCAAGGCATGAGGCGGCTGCATGCCTTGCGGAGGGACTGGGGCTGTCAATCACTTTCCAAATTGTAGCTTTGAGGTTCTCAAAATCGGCTAGAGTTCCAAAATATGGTGTGCTCTTAATCAACTGCTCAAGGCAATAACAGGCACTCGCTTGGGTGGCGATGGCCTTGTCGTTCGTGGCAGTATTTCGAGCATGCTTCCAGATATCCTTCGCTGTCTGCTCATCCGCGGGTGAGCTGATCCCTCCAATCACCTTTTTCAAGGCCGTATATAATGAAATTCTCAACCCTACATGGTTTTGGGCCGACTTGAATAGCCTCAACAAGGCACAACAGACGACACTTGACTGTGTGAACAGACTGTCTCCAGCACCCGCATATATATCGCCTATCGCGACAGCTGCCGCATGATTAGTCTTCAGCTCCCAATCACTCTTTCCCGCATTGAGTATCCCCAAAAGCTGTGTGACACTGTCATAGAGTGTGCTTCGGTCGCCCTTGCTGAAGATCGCGTTGAAGCATCGGCCGATATTATTTCGTATCACTCTAGTAGGGCTGGGGGATGGGAGCTTTAATATTTTAAAGAGTTCCTGGATGATTGACCTTTGTTTGGAAGATAGGCCAACTTTATCGAGTGTTGCAGCATATTGAACGAGGTCCGCGGTAAACCTCAGGAGGTACAGGTCTTGCTGCTCGGAGGGGAGAGAATGAAGCTTGGACACATTTAGTTCGGCGTAGGAATCCGCATTGTCTTGCCCCGCAGATGCAGCGGCTTCGGGAGCAGACATTGATGCTGGTGCCTCATAGGAATGCTTCCAGGCACATTGGCAATATGCGCGGACTGAATGTTTTCAATGTATTCTAAACTCGGTCGTGCGTTGAAGATGCCCGATCCAGCAAGCTCGGATCAACAGTCGGGCCGAGTCCATCCCGGTGAACGAGGCTTCAAACTGTGATACTTGAATCCCTACTGCCATTGCACTTCAGCATAGCTACCATAGATTCCATGGCTTCTGCACTTGGATTGAAACTTTTAGGAGGGCCTCGGAGTCTGCGCCCTTGGGTGTGCGAGAGCTGCCGAGCCCTGAGTTCCTCCACCATCGTGCATGCCGGCCACAGTCGTTGGTCAACAATAAAGCACGACAAGGGTAAAAACGATGCGGCAAAAAGCAAGGAGCGCGTTCTCCACGCCAGAGATTTAATCAATGCGTCGAAGTGTAAGTTAACTTCTTAAGGGTTTTTGTTTTTTTTTTCCCTTTCTGCATGTCCTTTATATACTAACCATCGGCAAAGTATTTGGACCTGACCCGGCCTCAAATGCGCGGCTCGCTCTTGTTATCAGCAAAGCGAAACGAAGCGGAATGTCAAAGAGCACAATCGAATCTGCTATTGCACGGGGCCAAGGCATATCGTCTACGGGCGCGACTCTCGAACCGGTAACGATAGAAGCCCTTCTACCATCATCAGTTGCTGTCGTAATCGAATGTATGACGGATCAGAAGGCGCGGACACTGCAAGATATCCGCTTTTTGATTAAACATCATGGGGGAACAGTTACGCCGACGAGCTATCTATTTAAGAAGAAAGGCAGAATTGTGTTTGAGAAGGTCGAGGGATTGAATGTAGACGACCACCTAGAGCAAGCCATTGATGCTGGGGCGATCGATGTAGACATGGACGATCAAGGTCGACTGAAAATATTCACAGAACATGCAGATACAAAGTCCGTTGGTGACAAACTTTCAGCATTGACTGGATTGAAAATCGAGACTGCCGACATTATTTGGGACCCAAATAAGGATACGATTGTGGAACTACAATCGGGAGAAGATGCTGATAAAATCGAGGATATCCTTAATACCATTCGAGAGGACTCCAGTGTCCAGGATATATATACCAATTCAATTATAGTATAAAAAGAAAAGAAAAGCAAAAGCAGAGAGCTCAAACCCAATTTACAATATACCATTACCAGGTATACTACTACCGCAGTGCTTTCATCGTACTCCTCATCAGATTCCCAACACCTTCCGCACCTATTCCGTCCAACCATTCAAGCATCCTTAATCTGTACTCTTGCCAGTTTATCCTTATCCCTCCGTCTTTATGTAGCGCAGCTAGTGCCTTTTGCGTCACGGGCCGTGTCAGTGTCACAGACAAGGATTTCCCTGGGGTGTCTACTATCGACTCTTCAATCCCCCTAAAACACGCAGAGGAGACATTGCAAAGTGCGACATTTTGGCTTAATGAGAATACAGAGGAAATTTGGTATTTGTGCTTTTCACCGCCACCACTTGGCCCTTCATTGAGCGCCTGCATATACTGCGAGAGCTTGTTTACCGTTAAAGCTGGAACAATGCAGCCCAGGGCATTAGGATCGTCCGAGTTTAAACCTCTGTTTCGCCACAACAGATTGCAAATATCAATCACGTAACCATTAAACCGAGAAACTACTTCTGTTGGATATGATTGTTCGAGCGATCCGTTGTATTGCAGTGTAGGTGATTTGAGTGAGGTTTCAAAGGATTGTTTAAACATCGCCAGAACAGAACATAGCGTCGATAAATGGCTTAGGGTCGGTGTGAACGTAAGCATATATATTAATTGAGGCTGCGGGACCACGATGCGTATGTTGCCATTCGTGGACGCATGATGGAAAAGCTCTGCAAGATCGGTATAAAAGCGAAGTACCGCCAATGGCCCGGATATCTTTGGAATTCCGTCCCCCTTGGGTCCCTGTGGACTCTCAAGGATAGTTAGGGCAAGGAGTTCCGCCCTGCCAATGACCTGGGGCAGAGGAGGTACAGGGAACAGAGAGGGAGTGGCGCGGATTACAGAACCCCAGTGTTGGATTAAAGACGAATAGTATTGAAGTATAAGAATTTTTGTTTCGCGTTGATCAGTTAGAATAGCCTTTTCTAGTGGAATGAAGTAATTTTGTCGAAGGGTATTGTAGTCCTGTATGGGTATATACTCCAGGAGCGACAGGATGGCAGTTCTGCTGTCATGGCCGTTCCAGGAGAGGAGGTACTTGCGCAAAAACTTATCCACAGCTTGAGGCATGCTCTGCGGGAAAACGGAGTCAATATAAACAATTCCAAGAAGCTGGAGCTGGAAGAGAAGCTTAATAGACCCACTTTTGTAAACCGCACAAACCCAATAAGGACATCAAGCACATATTCAAGATGCTCTGGGTCATTCCCCTCGTCATCTCCTTCCTCCCTTACCTGTATTCTAGCCATTTCGTCCTCAAAAAAGCTATCCAACCAACTCTCCAACCGCCGCGTCGCCCCTTCATTCCTAACAAACACCAAATACCTTTGCGCAAGCGGATCCGCTAACGCAGCAGCAACTTGGTTGGGCATCTCGATTCTGTCCAATTTCTGCACGAAATCATTTGCACTTCGTATTTCCTCCAGTGACGTGAAGTCGCTCTTGACCCGCGACGTCTGCACGACAGGGATAACAACCTCAATTCGACTTCTCTTCACCTCACCGCGCCGCACAACTTGAAACGTCTGAAGAACGTTTTGACCAGGATTTGTCATTCCAGCAGCAGCTGTTATCTCCTGAACATGTCTCATCTGCTTGACCCACTCCGGATCGGGATGTTTGAAGAAATAAGTTGCTCGCCCCGTTGACGCGTAGGTATCCCCGATAATTATGTCGGGGTAATAGCTCTTGAAAACCTTCAGCAGACCTAGAAGCTCCCGCTCTTCACCACCGGTGATTCTCATTAGTTCCATTAGCGCCTGGATGCGGAACGGTTTTATGTGTTTCCTACGCGAAATTAACGACAGGAGATGACATAGTGACCTGCGTAGACTGATCATGTCCAGGAAATTAAACAAGACACCATAGAGTCTTGACAGATACGATTGATCATCCATATCATCGTACACTAGAATTAGCCAACGGAGCAAGAGGGCCTGGGTTGCAGGCGATGGCTTGTTTCTGCTTGGTCCGAAGCAGGAGATGACCATTGAGACGGTGCGAGGGCGCACACGCTCGGACGGGTAGAGATTTTTGACTATAGTCGTGATGGTACTTTGGTCTAGATGTTTGGATTTTGAGATGATAGTAATTAGACGTTCTAGCAGGTGAGTTGGAATGCCTGACTCGTAAGCATTGGACGCAATCGATTTCGCGAGGTCGGCGACGCTGGTGTGTCGCTGCTTTGGTGGGATGGAGGCAACTATGTAGGCATATCAGCTATCTGTTTTTCATGCATGAAATGGACGGTTTTGCCCGTGTTGTTACCATTTTCCAGCTGCTCAATTGCGTCCTCCATTTTTTGGCTATAGAATCTAACTATATTAGATATCGAATCTGACATGTACACAACCAACAAAGGTTTACAGAAACAATATCTCACCTTGATGCACCCCCCGAACCGCGCTCTTTAGAATAACCTGGATGTTCTATATTTTCCTGGAGGATTAAATACCCTGGCCGGTTCGAATGTTCGCACAGTCCTTTCCAATTTCTCGAAGTCAAACTGAAATAGAAAGAATGCAATCGCCAATTGCAGACAAAATCCTCTTTTTTGAGTGTTTGTTCAGTTACATTTTCGGGAAATGTACACTTGAATGAACGAACTCTCCTATCAGGCTCAGTACTCCTACGATGCAGCGCAATGTTTGCGACGCGTTAACGCGTTACGAATGTTGATGTGGCGATGGCAATCAGCAAAGAAACATACATCGACCCGCGAGGGTATAGACGGAGTCGAATTAGCTGAGAGGAGCTCTGATCATAATTTTGATATAAGCCAAATGTTTTGTTGAGTATTATTGAAAATGACATGGACGTTTACTTGAGTGTAGAACCTTGTCTTGACACGATATCACATGACCTGAATGCGATGATAGCTAGGGAACTCGAGATAAAGAATTTGTTTAGTCTACAATGGCAGTAAAATTCATATGTAGTACCTCTATCCAATTTAAAAAACTAGTCAAGAGAGGAATAGATATTCTATGATCCAACTCTTGTATCTCAATTCCACTACAACCCTTCCTTGTCCAGCCCTGGAAGAATCGAGTTTACTTCCGCTTGCGAACAGATTCCGTTGTTGTTTTAGTTCCTAATGTACTTGTTTCAGGCTCTGAAGCAGTAACAGGTTCAGAGTCCTTGAGAGACTTTGGTTGTTCTTCGGGTTTGGTTTCTTCATTTTCTTCCGCCTCTCCACCCTGACCAAATTCATTGACACGGGTATAGTCAACTTTGTATTTGTAGCTCTGATACAACCAAATAAAGAAGATAACATCGTCTCTAAGTGTGGCGATTCTATGGAGAGTAGGCATCTTAATAGTGAACGCGAAGAGATCGTCGATAAATGTGTTCAGGAATTTATACGTGAGCGCTTTTCCGGGCATATGTGCGACAGACTGCGAAAAATGGTGTTAGCAGGGAGTGCAGTGAAGACATGAATTCCATGGACCTAGAGTCAAAGCCATCCTTACCTTCAAACGGTAGTTAATGTAGAGGCTGGGTACCATCATAAGGAATCCGTAAGCGTAGACGCTGCCCACCAAGGTTTCGATCACAAAGGAGTACCATGACTTATGGTCTTCATACATAAGGCTGTAAACTGCATATGCAGCCAGCAATGGGACCGCGAGAATATAAAGATACCTAAAAGCTATTTCATCATATTCTTTCGTTTTCTGTTCTGTCTCACTGAGCTTGTGTTTATCTTCAAAGACAACAACGTATGGCAGAAACGAGAAAGCCGATCCCGGCCGTGGGCGACGAAGTCTAATATCAACGGTCTTGGTGATCTTCCATGCTTCCAGGACAATGCCAAAAGCTTGTCCCCCGAGAATCATCCAAGAGGTGCCCTCGCTGTTATCGAGAAGGTACAGGAAAATGACGGTTTGCATAAAGACGTTCGCAAGAATGGTGCGAAGAGAAGTGCCAACTGAATCTTTCTTCTGACGCCAGTGAGACTGTTTGCATATTAGCTGCATAGGACTTCATGTATGAGATAAGGCTAGACAAGGGACACACTTACAATATCATTCTTAAATGCAAGCCCTTCGAAAATCATATGGAGGATGCTGACGAAGAATGTGGTAGCCAAAAGATAGCTATTAGTGTCCAACAAGATCTCCTTAAAAGTTTCGAATTCGCTTCCATCACCACCAGCAGGGAAGGGCCCCCCACTTGCAGCTTGTCTTTGATTTTGCTTTGTGCTCTCGTCAATGTTGGCCAGCAGTGTGAATTTCCAATTCTGCAAGTTTTTTAACGTGATATGGAGGGGCAAGGTTTCAACAGTGGAATTTAGTTCAATCATATGGCTCTTCAACTGCCAAAACGTATTGACGAAAAGGATTGGATAATACCATCCATTCTGGCCAGTGGCATCTCTCGCACCTGTTGTTTCAAGCTGGAGATATTGTCGCGCAGCTGGAGCCATTGAGGGCAAAGTAACAATCCCGGTATCCGGGATGACCGAGAGGGTGAAGTTAGGGTGATAAAACGACCCTATTTGAATCCCTTGTGGGAGTACCTCATCGTCTTCTGCTTCATCTGCGCTAAGCAGATTTTTTAGCTTCTTCACTTTCTTTTTAGGCAAATAGTGGTTCAGAAGGCGACAGAAGTAAACAGCATTGGCAGAGCTATAACCCTTGTCGTTTGGATTCAATGGATGTCCACTAAGCGACATGTAAAAATGCGCCCATAGCGTCCCATTTTGTTGCACTTCTTTCGGCACTTTGAAGCTCGTCACGATTTCCCTAGTGTCATCCCAATCACCGATAGTAAAATTCTTCTCCTCGAGCACTTTTGCGTCCTCTGGGAGAGTATCCAGCGACTGGATGCTGGTAGATGGCGAGACGTAAATGGAGATGTCTACAGAGCTATTCATAGGCCATATCGGTGCGACCTTGTAAGGGACGATAGTCGCGTTCGGAATGCTACGGATGTCCGGCCGGTCCGTGAACGCTGGAATGGCCGCATTTCCCCCAGAAACAGAACCGACATTTCCGCTATTTTGTCCTGATTTTGACGTCCCGAGTATTTGCGAAAAAAGGAACTGGGATGCGACGAAAAAGGCCAAACCTTGAAGGGCAGTCCTGATGAAAGACTGTGTCCAACATGATTAGTAACGATAAATTGCCGATGATTTGGAAAGCAGGAGAGCATGCTTACACCTAGGCCTTGCTCTTCTTGTTGTTGCCTGCGACCCGACATGTTGATAAGCTGGTGGACGCAATACCAAAAGCATTGGCGGGCGAATGCACGTCAGCACAAGAAGAGACTTTTTATATCCATGGATGGCTTACGAACAGGCGAGCCGGGGTCGGAGCTCCGGCACAACGACGCCGAGCGAATGAGGAGTCACATGGTATTTCCCTTGAACCGGCATATAACATTCGAGCTCCATGTTTCAATTTCGTGGAGATATAGGATTCTTTCTTCCCTCTGTGGAATATTTGGAGCTTGATACCCTGTATGAGGACACCGCATTAAATGCCATAGATCGTCTGTTTCAGCTGCAGGTCAGCGATATGGACCATCACGTTCCTCCATAGTCGAGCTCTACTCACAGATAAAGCGCAACCCCATGTCCCAAGCCTCCGTGCCTTCTCATTTCCCTGCTCATTATGGGCCAAGGGTTTGGGTCATTTCAGCGGGAAGCTCACCCATCGGCATCGCGCTGGCTCGCCAGCTACTTGCGCATGGCGATATCGTCGTCGCAGGAGTTCCAGAATCCAACCTCGAACGGGAAGATCCTCGCGGCGCCGATTTTGAAGCCTTTCTAGACGAGCTAGCTTCTAAAGGTTCAGACTGGGAGGAGCGGATGAAACCTGTGATCATGGACATCAGGTCTGCGTCCCCAAAGATTTAACTGAAGAGGTGGACGCATTGCTTCGGTTGGAAAGCGAGCCAAAAATCTATGCTACACGAATGGTGGGACTGATTCCTTATGGCCAAATATTTGTTGCAGAATAATGAATGAATGCCAAGTTATCATTGCAGAGGCCATTAGCGCATTCGGGAGAATTGATATTTTGATATGCTGTTCAAGCCAGGGTAGGTGGTTGCGAACGTCTTCCCTCTGTTGAGTACTTATTATGTGTTCCAGTATCAACCAACATTTATATGACTGACTTATAACCTCACATCTCCAGCAATAATCGGCACTGTCGAAGAGCTTTCTGCATCCGAACGGACCCGATTGCTAGTAAAGGACCAATTTGAACTCAATTACTTTGGTCCAGTAAATTTGATCAAGGCCGTTTTACCCCAATTAAGGAAGCAGAAGAACGGTCACATCCTCGTACTAGGGGGTATCAGTACGTAGATCGATCTATGGCATAAAAAGGCAACATGGTCTAATTATTATTACCAGCCAGCCATATAGGTACCCCCGGGCTAGGAGTTTACTGTGCAGCAGGGTGGGCCTTGGAGGGCTTCTGTGATGTACGTTTTGCCACATGGCCAAAACGAGGCTAATGCTTTGACGAGGAAAAGAAGAATGGCGATGAAAAAGAAAGAAAGAAAGAGGAAACAAAGTAGAAAGAGTTTTAAGGGACGGAAAATCTAACAAATATCAAACAGAGCCTCGCCTACGAAATCGCGCCTTTCAATGTCCGCCTCACCATTCTTCAATGCAGCATCGAAATTGGCATTCTCACAAACCTCATCACAAGCGTCCCTCCCATCCTCCCAGCCTACTCCCCTTCCACAAACTACGCCCCCTTATTCCGCGGTATCATGAATGGCCTTCTCTCGCGCCTGCCGAATCTCCAGGGATCCTTCAATCAATTCCCGGAAGAAACGTCTGAGGCGTTTCCCCCATGCACCCCACAGTCTCCATCCTCGTCATCAACTACATCAACTTGCACAAGACCCCCCACTAACAATGAGACAAATCCAAGCACTAACGCGAGCAGGCAAGCGGAAGCAGCCGAAGCGGAACATGACGAAGTCCAAATCGATTCAGGTTCCAACGGGCCCCTCTCCGCACCAGCGGTGGTATCTATTTATCCACCACTGAGTTCCGCGCACCTGGATGTGCTTATCGCAGAAACCATCCATGCGATCACGTCCATTGGCGGCCATGAGAACCCGCCTGCTCGACATATTGTGGGTGCGGAGGGAGTTGCAGCTGTGAAAGAGAAGTTGAAGACAGTCACGGAAGAACTGGAGGATTTCATCGAGTGTAGTAGTGCTGTAGATATTAGTGTTGATCCAGATACGGGAACATGAGTGCGAGTGGTGGACGAGGTGAAGTTGGAGGTGGAAGTGGGCTGGGAACAAACACAAGTGTTGCTCATGAGAGCGTATGCGTATATGGTTTAATATATATGAGTATCCATATAAAGTCTTCTTTGTCGAGCACAACTAGGTGTTTAGACGTACCTAATATATGCCTATCAATATTCGGAGCCGTCAAGTAAAATCTTCGAGGAAGCTACGAAGACATACCATCCGTGTATCGTAATTTCCATCAACTGGGAAGTACAGTTAAATATCGTTGATGAGGTTTATAACTATACTGCATCTAAATGGAAAAATTTTGTCGTTGCTTATACGCAGAATTCAGATTCTTCAGCTGTAAATCAGAACGCCAGGATTTCCCGGTACAGTACATATCACATATCCTATACCCCGCACCCCTGTAGTCGATTTAAAAGGATCTCCTAGGAACGCGAGAGTTCTAAAGAAAGAAAGAAAGAAAGAAAATTGGCGAGGTTTTTTTATTTAAAAAAAAAAAAAAAAAAAAAAAAAAAAAAAAAAAAAAAAAAAAAAAATTAAATAAATAAATAAATAAATAGAACAAAATGACGTTCGCGTACCGGTGAAAGAGTTCCGGTGACACGTAGTACGCAGTATGTAATTGCCAACTTATGGCAGATCAAGGCTCATGTGTCCGTAGTGCGGTAGGGCGATGGAAGCCTGCATTTGGAAAAATGAAATTTGATGAAAAGTTGGCGCAGACATCACCAGTTGCATCGGCAAGGCAACACCGGAAAGTAGAACGGCCATGGACCAGAACAGGAACATGGGGAATTCAAAGAAAAAAAGAAGAAAAGGCCAAAAGCTTCGAAGTTTAGCTTATGCTATTATTTCCCTTTCACGAACCACGACTGCCTGCATTCCCACAAACTTCCCATGTCTTGGTTATTTCTGAAACAACGGAACTCTTTCCAGGCATTTCCGTTGGGAGGCTCAGTAATACGCCCGTCGATTTGTAGGATCTTGTTAGCAAGGCGACCGGGTCCGGAGACTCCACTGAATATTATGTCTTTTGGGATGGATTCTTGTGTTTGCCCCGATGTAGGTTCTGGCGCAGTGTCTGTTGCGGCTTCGCCTGTGGCTTCCGCTATTGTTTCATCTGAAGCTCCAACAGTGCTGTTAGCTTCCACTGTGCTGCAAGCGATAGCGGCGATTCCATTAGGGTGAGAACTGGGTAGAGCTGGCTCCATTGAACCCTTCGGTTGTTTATCATTGGCTGCGGCCTCCGAATTAGAGTCAGTAGCACAGTCACCAGAATATAACAACTTGGGTACGCGGGACGGCTGCTGGCTCGAAAGTTCCAGGCCAGGAGTTTCATTTAACGACGTCTCCTTCGGTACGGCTTCAACCATCGGCTCACTGGCAGCAGTTCCAATGTTCGTTGCGGTAGTTGCTGGAAGTTGAGTCTCATCTTTCAAATATGGAGGAGGGGCCATCTCTCTTGCTGATGACAACTCTAAGCTGGCATCGGCGGAAGCCATCTGATGGATTCCCGGAAGCATCATGCCATACTTGACGTAATCGATATTTACGGGTTTCGGTTCAACGGTTAGGTTCAAAGAGTTTCCTGGCGTATTCACACAGACAAAAGCTGGACTCCGTACGGGTTCACCAGAAGACTGCTTATCGGAAATAGGTTGAGAGTCTATTGCCGGATTTTCAGACTCATTTGTTAAGATCCTGTCTCGGTGTAGATTTGTCGTGTTCGCCAAACACACAGAACCTGTAATGGGCCCCGTGTGTTTGTCCTCCTGAGAAAAATTTCTTACCAGTGGAGTGGCATTGCTTACTATATGAGCTGCTGTATCGGTAGCTTCTGTCTGCATACCTTGGTTTGTAAATTTTTGGTCGACTTCAGAAGAGTTATATAGAAATACACGTCGACCCGGAGGAATTGCGAAAGTGAGTGTACAGCCGTCTCTGTCTACAATCTGTTTGAAATAGCATCGGTTAGGGAAAATCTCTTGTGGCAGAACAAAAATACGGGAGATAAAGAAGCATATCACCCACCCGAACCTCCTTCTCCAGAAGAAGTTTCTCATCCCCCTTCCTAAAACACCTCGAGTATCTCCAGACATCGCCAACCCTCACGACACCATTTTCAACCAAAGTCCCCAGCTTGACCGTACTACTTTTCCCCGCAATAACATCACTATCAAGCTTCTGTTTCTGTCCCCAGAACTCCTCGAATTGCTCCTCCTTGAATTTATCGTACTTCCCCTGAGCTCTCTCCTCCATAGCCGCCGCCGCCTGGCGTTGCCATTCTGGATCATACCTTCCAGTCTGTAGGTCGAACTGGAATTGGCGAACTGCATCCCGCCAGCTATTGGAATAGCGGACAAAGGATTCAGGAAGCGGTGGGATAATAAAGTTACGGGGGTCTTCTTGACCTTCGGCATTTGGGCCGGGATCAGCATGTTGCTGTATATCATCCGGAAGCAGAGCTATGATCTCTTTCTTCTCATCTTCGTCCAGACAAGTCCATGCTTTGGGGTCAGCTAGTAGTTTCTAGGGATTGTTAAATTAGCTTCCACTTTTCTAGCAGAGACTTCCCCAATCACTTACAACCAGATCAATATCAATGATACGCGAACTAGTGCTGGTGGTCAATTGCTCTTCACTCCAAGGGTTTTTCTTAGGAGTTCGTGATGGGCCACGCCGTGCGCCAGTAGATTTCTTATGGGTCGTCATTTTGGGTGACTTTTGTCTTCTCACACGGCGGTCCAGCTACACCAGAAGCACGGCGGGGAGCGCGCGGTCTTCAACATAGTTAGCTTTGCCACAACATCTATAACTGAAAAATTGCATATGAGTAGATATAGTAAAGAAGCCTAATCGACATTCCGATAGAGCCGACGAAAATGCTGACGGATTTGAATTTCATACTTGGATGCAATGTCGAGACTGTGTTTTGCCGCCGCTGACCGCCTTCCGTTTCCTCGGCCGGCCCATATCTGCTGACTCAACTGACGTCTTTGTCACCAACAATCAAAGGAAAGCTTTACCAGGTCAAAGTTGGACCGGCGAAGGGGTGGATATCTGGCTTGATGAAACAACAAAACCAACAAGGAGGAGCTGTCTTTGCTTCTGTTGTTGCCATATAAATAGCACCACGGAATCCTGCGATGGGATAAGGAGGTAATAACGAGTTAAAGAGACCAAAAAAGATCTTGTGCAGTGAGGATGGTTCTGTCAACTCAGATTTCCAGGCTGGATGGTGGGTTTATTAAACAATGAAACGTTTATTTCTCTAGAGTTTCTGACTGGCCTGCGTGCTAACAAGTGCTTTGGTGGATGTAGGCATCCCACTTGCCGCCTCCGTGGATGATGAGCAGCAGGTGCGTATTCCCCTTGTTGCTCACTAGCTCGGGTTTGTGTTGTCAGTGAAAGGTGAAAAGGTGAAAAGGTGGGGAAATGCTTTTTGTTTTAACATGGAGAATCCATAGGTGGATGCGTTGTCCGAGGCAAAATCGCAAGCCAAACTGATATCCCGTCAATTGAATCGGAACTCAGAACCGCAAGCTACTATTGAGTGCGGACAATGCAACCTTCAGTAAGTCCCGCGATTTTCTACGGCGCTCCCGCGAGCTTCTTATATCGGAATCTTATAAGTACAATACAGTTATATCATCAAAGATGGCGTTTGCTTCCTCTGCATTGCGGACCGATCATACCCTCGCAAACTTGCATTTAGCTATCTTGGCGACTTAGCCAACGAATTCACAACCACATATCCAACTTCGCAATATCTCTCCACCAATCTACGTCCATACGCCTTCGTTGAATTCGATAGTTTCATCAAGCGAACAGTGAAGACGTACCAAGATAGCCGTGCGCCCCAGAATTTGGATAAGCTGAATGATGAACTACGAGACGTGACAAAATACATGGTTAAGAATGTCGAAGACCTCCTATACCGGGGCGACAGCTTGGAGCGGATGGGCGAGATGTCTGGGAGATTGAGGGATGACAGTCTAAAATACCGCAAGGCAGCGGTGCGGATAAACTGGGATTTGCTTGTAAAACAGGTATGTGTATAAAGGGCTTGCGTGCAAAGGTAATCATAAAAGAAGATATTGCTAATTTGGAATTTTTCTTTGTTGCAGTATGGGCCCTTTGCGGCGGTCGGTTTCGTTATGCTTATTTTAATCTTCTGGCGGTTTCTCTAAATAGGGTTTTGTTTTGATTCTAATGCTATAGTTTTATTCGTGTGATTGTGTTTCATTTCAATTCAAATATCCGCCAGCCTCCATTGTCTCTTGCTGCATTACATATGCACTAGGTATAACATCATTCGTAATTGCCAAACTTACATGGTAAATGCATGATGCGATTTGCAGCGGCCGTGTCCAGCATCCTACACTAGCAACCCTAACTCGCAGGTTTTCCAGGAGAAAATCTCATAACATTCAACCCGTAGGCCCGTTCCTCCGTAGCAGTATATTTCTGCTCCCACCCGCTCCGCGGGACAAATTTTCTCCGTTTGCACCATGTGAAACATAAAATACTCAAATCTCATCCTCCTCTTCATCAAAATCATCTTCTTCTCCCATATCATAAAGGATCCTACCGCCCTCACCAGGCCCCTCCCCTCTCTGCGCATCGAAATAAGGCAATACAACCCCTTCCCTCTCCAACCTCTGCCGCTCCGTTAAGCCTAACTCAAATGTTGACTCCGGCTCCCATCCCCCCCTTTCAGCACCGCCCTGCTCCTCCCCCTGGTGATATAGCGGATGATCGTCGAGCAACATCACCAATTCTTTTCCCTGCTGCCGATGAATCCTCACCGCAGGTGGCAAGAAATACCACTCCACAACTCCCCTGCCACTCTTGCGCCGATGTTCCATTTCAATAACGACGCCGTTGAGGTCATCGTCATCGGTGCTCTTGCCGTGCTCGATGCGGCGGCCCGATGATGACGCCGTCTGCTTCTTCTGCTAGACCGAAGACGGGGGCCCATAAGGCTCCTGTGTCTCGCGGCCTTTTCGGCGAGGATGTGACTCATAGAGTGAACGGTGAAGATTGTTGTGGCGAGATATGTTAGAAGAGATAAAGGGGTTGGTTTGTATGTTTGTTTCTGTAGGCATGCGAGTATATCCTGGTGATACACGACAATCAGGGAAGTAGAAGTATGGCTCTGTGGGCTGGTTGGGGGTGGCCCAAGCAATGAGCTTAGATATGCAGCTAGATTCACCTCATTGTTCGCGTTACTCTTACGATCTATCATTGGATTGACAGAGTCGATAATTACAAGGGATTCTGTATGGAAACATAAGTATGGCATTTCCTACCGATGTTTATATTATTGAGCAGGAGAAACGGGAACAACATACTATTTGAAGCCGTTGCTGCTGAAGGATATGGCAGCAGTGGTGACGATGCTGCGGAAACCACTTCTGTTGCAATATCTGCCAAACTTTTTCGTCGGGCCAGGATAAATGTATCGATGCCATCTGGGCGCGTCAGAGTCTCGAAGGAGACAAATATAACATGAACTTTTGATAGCTATTAGGGATACAGTCAACATGGGACGTTCATTCACATCTCCCAGTGGAAAACTATATTTCTGCACAAGCATCAATGGATGCGTTTGCGATGGAGACACAGATATTCATTATTATAACGGATTGAGCAATGAGGATGAAATAAATTTATACATTAAGTATAAATACAAGATGAGGGAATTGGGATCAATAAATCAAAGTTTACTACGAACAAATCAACCAAAAAAAGAACAGCACGGGATTAAAACCAAATCGAATTATTGAAATTAAGCGAAGCATATAAAGGTAACAAACAGTACCTTTGCTCTTCTAATATATTCCTTAATCAAGGGTGTAGCAGGCTGTTCGAGAGAGTCCAGGAGCAGGGTTAACGGAGACGTAGAATCGCGAAGACTGAGTAGCTTGGATATTAAAAGTAAATTATGCGTGCGACGGTGGGAAGCACTAGTAGGCGACATGATTTATGCCAATAATATATATCAAATTCTCCAGATGAATCTGCTTTTCTCTTTAAGGTTGATGTGAAATCGTTCGTTAGTCCACGTATGTAGATGTTGTTTCCAGTGAAAGCATTAAAGGCAGTAACCGGCTACCGTAGCTAGCCCACAGCGCAGGACAAATAATCTCAAAGCCTCTTCAACATCGTCTTGTTAAGCGGGACAGCTTCGGCGACGATTGAACTCCTTTCCTCCCTACGCAATAGATGCATAGAAACAAATTTACACCAGTAGATCCCGGCAGTATTCGACAAGACACCCATTTCGTCTCTCAACATCCCTTCCCCAGCGTCCGCTCGGTTAGCTCGAAAATAGTGCCACAATGGCTGAACCTCCAGCCAAACGCGCTAGGAGGACGGATAGCTCGACAATGTGGGAGATGAATGACACGAAATCCCACTCAGACGATTATGGCAACAACGAGCTACATGGTGACATGTCAAAACGAGAAGCGTCAGCCAAAGACGATAGAAAACGAGGCAATATGTCGAGAAATGAGCGCAGATCCCGCTCCAGAGATAGGGATGAACGAAGACGTGACCGGAGTAGATCGAGAGATAGGAGGGACAAGAGCAGATCAAGGGAAAGGAGAGAAAGGGACAGGGACAGGGACAGGGATAGGGATAGATCTGGTTGGAAGGACAGAGACAGGAGCGGCAGTAGGGGCAGATATACTAGATGGGGTATGGTTAATTTTTTCTGTTTGACGTCCATGATGAGAAATTGACTGTGTGTTCTAATACTCTATGTAGGGGATTATGGAAAGACGGCTCAATACCGCGAACGAGGTCGTGATAGATCCTGGTCCCGTTCCCTCTCTCCAGCACGCTCGCCCGCACGGAATGGTTCTGCCTCCACCCGGTCTCGAAGGTCACGGTCACCTCCACCGCCGCGGGGCTCGAGACCTGACCGTCGAGGCGACCTACCACCCCGAGACCAGGTCCGGGAATCGGCAAAGATGGGGGCGAATGGGATTTCTTCTGAATCGAGACGGCATGGTTCAACAAAATCTAAAATCCAACCTGTGCTAGAGAGTATGGACGTAGATATCGATAGTGCAGATGCCGAAGACCTGGACCAATTGATTCGGAAAACGATGGGGTTCTCGTCGTTCCGGACTACACAAAACACTAAGGTGCCTGGAAACAATATCTATGGTGTGCGCAAGGAGAAGAAGACACAATACAGACAATACATGAATCGCCAAGGAGGATTCAACAGGCCATTGAGCCCGACACGTTGAGTCTGAAGATTCTATATCGCTTTTCGTATTTTCCTCATTTCTGGTGATGGCGATTTTACCTTGATTATCACATCTCGCGAGTGTTTTCGAGAGACTTCATTCCAATTCTTCATGGTTTACACTGACCTGGGTTCTTATCTATGTCATTATTGATAATTGTATGTACAGTACATTTACTACCATTTTGTGTTTGAGCGTGGATGCGTTGATTCCCATCATGTATATTTACTATGTACCAAGTATATATCTGTTGTAGCTGTTGCTGCTGAAAATGACCCATAGACTGGCTGTGTGACCATACATGGGACTGGGACTAAATTTTTCCTCAGTCTCATTATCAAATATCTTAGTTCTGATCTCCTATACGGCATCAATTCGTCGATTTACACTCCAGATGAAGGCCTGGTTAGGGTTTAGCGCTAAATTCTGCCTATGCGTCATCCAAACGCCGACGCAACTGAAAATGAGACAAAACTTCAACTTGGCGAAAAGCAGTTTTGCGCGACAGCCCACCAAATATAGTTACTAATAATGAACCCATTTCGTGCTGTTGACTTGCGCAAGTAGCATTTCCATTTCCGACCACCAAATTTGTTCGATATTTTCAGTTCGGTCAATCGTGCATCTCTTCTGGAACCGAATGGCGGGCAACAACAATACCCCTCTTGGAAGCTCCAGCGGGTTGCCATTCCCCACTCTCAAGAGATCGCATATTCTACACTGCTCCTACCATTACTGGCATCCAAAGTACGTTGCTATCCTATCAATCCAAGGATCGTTTATCCATATGTCATTCCCGGAGGTTACTCGACGATGCCACTGACACGGCTCTTCGGGTGATGTAGATACCGCTCCGTGACCCCGAAAGCTCGCCTCATTCCCCTGAATGATGCATTCCTCAACTATCTCCGCGCAGACGGAATCATTTTACCACCGCAAGACGAAAATCCCCCAGGCGCCGATGACGACAGTGGCATCTATTCCCTATCTGATGATTCTGATCCGGACGATGACGATGTGGACCCTTCCATACAATGGCAAGAGATACACGCGCAGATAAAAGCGACAATAGAGGAACTGGGTGGGAAGGTAGCTCCGAAGCTCAACTGGAGTGCCCCTAAAGACGCTACCTGGATATCCGCGACAAACGACATGCAGTGTAGAACTCCGAATGATATATACCTGCTATTAAAAAGCAGCGATTTCGTGACTCATGATCTGGAGCATGCTTTCGACGGATGCGTATCGGACACAGAAGAGAAAAGCGATGGAGAGGTGGAGGTGGAGGTGGAAGAGGGGAAGGAAAAGGAGCAAAAACAAGCAGAACAATCCCGCATCCCTTACCACCTAGTCCTACGCAAATACATAACCCTAAACCCCTCCCTTGAATTCCGTTGCTTCGTCCGAGACAGGAAGCTCCTCTGTCTCTGCCAGCGCGACCTTAATCACTTCAATTTCCTCTTCGGCCTTCGCGATAACCTTCGCGACAAAATCCAAACGTTCTTTGATATCAGGCTGCGCGACACATTTCCGGACCCAGATTTTGTGTTTGATGTCTACGTACCGCCACCGCATAATCGTGTGTGGCTGATAGATATTAACCCCTTTGCACTCCGGACTGATCCCCTGCTTTTCTCGTGGTTGGAGATTTTGAATTTGAAGGTTCCGAGTTGCGACGACGATGGGGAGAGTGATACGGTGCGGGTTGAAATGCGCCGGGGTGGTGCAGAGAGAGGTACAGAAAATGGAATCGGTGATGAAGAGAGTGAAGGTGGTGATGAGGATGACCTCGATGCCGCGACTACGTTCTCTTTCGTTCCCGAATTCCGCCTTGTGGAACACGACGATCCGGAAGCGTATGGCTTCGCGACACCACGATATTCGGCGCATAAGTTGCCTAGGGACGTAGTGGATGCATCGAGGAGTGGTCCTGGAGGTATGAACGAGTTCCTTGGTCAATGGCAGGACATCCTTGCAAAAAGGATACAAGAGGATGAGGAGGGCGGAGCTTGATGTTACGAGAGCTAATGTGGACGGCGGGTAAGGTTTGAGATTGCCATGTTATGAGTGTATGGTATGCCGAGTATTTAGGACAGGATAATGAGTAGTGGAGGCAAGGAGAATGTCATGTATAATATTTACGAGGCCTTTAAAGGCATGAAAGTTTTTATTTTATCTTTTACATTTCATAGAGATTCTTCCATCAGGACAAGTTAAGCTGCAGAGTTGTAGCTTTTCTCTGTTGCAGTTGGGTTTGCTATGGGTTCAATTACCCCTTGCCCTTCCTTCAGCAAATACATTCTTTTATCATGAGCTGCCTAGGCAGCTAATGAAATATGAGGATTGCAGCATAGTCCAATATGAAGATGCAGTACACTGGTGCTAGATATTCTTCCGTATGGACTCTGGCTCTAGAATCTATGCATGTCATGCCGTCCCGCCAGATGGAGGGGTGATGAGGAACAGAGAATGAGACATATGATTAACAAAACCAATAAAATAACGCAAGGGGCGCATTCTGAAAAACAATACATAAAATGGAACAAGCAGAAAAAGGCAGAAAAAATGACATAGGGAAACCAGGAGAGAGCTCTATCCGAGAGTTGTGCACATTCACAATTTATGCTTCTTCTGCCCAGTCGCAATTTTCATAAACTCTTGCTGTGGGATGCCAGCTATAAACCTTTCCATCCCCATAAACACCTCCAGGACATTCTGGCGATCCAACACTTCCCTCCCAGGTCGTCTAATCAGGTCCTTAATCTTAAGCATGCTGTCTTGGTTGATATGGGTTCCCAGCCTCTCCTCAACCTCCTCCAATACCAATTTCAAAAACCCAGACGCATCCTCCTTCCCGCTGGGAGCAGTGAATACCTTGTTCACGTACCCAGTCGAAACCAGATCCTCAATTGGTATACGCTTGCTCATGATCAGCGCTTCGTTGGCCTTGGAGATTCCCAGGCGTTCCACAAAGGCGATGCTGGCGCCACCCTCCGCCACGAGGCCGAGCGATGTGAAAGGTGTTAGGAGGAAGGTGTGCGGAGTGGCGTAGATGAAGTCCCCGAAAGCGGTGAGAGCGGCAGAAAGCCCAACTGCAGGACCGTTGAGTGCGACGACAAGGATTTTGGGATGCTTAGCGAAGGTGTTTGTCAAGTCCAGATTGTTGGCCACGAAGCCGCGCAGGATGTCACGGCGCGCGTCTGCGCCGTCACTGGAAGGACGGGTCTTTTGGACATCAGCGCCCCTAGAGATTTGTGTGATCATGTCAGAGGAGATATTATTCTTGATAACAGTGGGAGCTTGAGTTTGAGAGGTTTGACAATATTAATATAACTTACGCAGAAAAGAAACGACCTGTTCCCGTCAGAACGGTGATGAAGATGTCATCACGCTGGGCGACTTCACGCATCTTCTGTCCCAGTTCCCAGTAATGGTCACTACTCAGAGCATTAAGCTTCTTGGGCCGGTTGAGGGTGATGATTGCCACTCGGTCCTTGTAAGTAACTGTGACTTCTTGTGCTGCGGAACTCATTTCTGCGTTGTGATCTGGCTTCTTTCTGCTGGACAAAATCAACTACTGTGTGACTGTGAATGAATGAAATGCAACAAAGTAGTAGTGATCCAGAAAGAATGTTGTTTTGTTGTGTTATTGTGTTATCTATTCAATGCTATCTGGAAAACGGTTGAATATGTCTGCCCTTTGAGAAACAAAAAAGGTCGAGGAGAAAAAAAGAGAAGAAACAAAGAACGAAAATGGAAAACTCATTAAATAGCTATATATTCTTGAATTTTCAAAGAAGACTGACTATATGGGAAAATAGCAAATATGCACTGAGTTTGGCGCCATGTTCTAGGGAGTTGAAGATACCGCGGCTAAAATAATGTGTGCTAGAATGAGCCGAAGACAAAAAATAACTGAGGAGTTGTCGAGGTTCGGCTGAACTAACGTCTGCAGGAACCAAGTTCCACAAATCGCACAAGGACCCGACGGGCCCGCGAAAGGTCATTTCTGTTGGAAGAGGGTAGGAACAGGGCATCTTCATGAGGATGGGACCTCAAAAGTTTTGTTACAAGCACAAGCCACCTTCTGAGTCTCCGTCAACTGGATTTGAGGAGCCATAAAAACTAGGTGTCCCATCCATTTTCTATATGCATGGACCCTGAAATCGTGTTAAGCTAGTGTTCAGTCCGAATTATCTCTCCAATGGAACACAAGTCGGATTCTATGTATGCTGCTAATCAGTCATCCAACTGTGAACCGCGTCAATCAATGTAACCCAGAGGCTTCGTACTTGAAGTTTCCTTTTTCTTTTTTGAGGCGCTTGACTAAGTGTTCTAGATCAGACTCCAATTTTTCATCATCTATCTGTGGTTGAAGGTTACAAAGCTGCACCCTCTTTCTGTAAAGCAGAGGAGTGCCGAAGTCGCCTTTGATAGAGTTGATCAAGGCTTATGAACAGCGCCCTTGTAGGAAATTAGGTGCAACTCATAGATTATTTTCAGCTTCCTGAAGCACATCTCATAAGCTATGAACTTTCTTGATTAGAGGGTGGTTCTTGACTGTTGAGTTGGTGCAAGGTTAACTAGGAGTTGTAAATAAGAGGAGAAAAGTTAGGCTGGTATGCTTACCTTACGTGATGAATGGAAAGCAAGAAAGCAAAAACAGCAACAAAAATGCAGAATTATTACGAAGTTATGATGCATATGATACTTGCAAGAGAAGATAACTCACTGGGAACAGATGCTGGTATAAATATAGGATTATGGTCAATGGGTTGATCTGGCTCGGCTTTGAACCATCCCAGAGAAATAAGAAATAAGAGGGACCTACGCTGGTTAGTTAAGTCCACATTTCTGACTATTGTGGCGGACGTAAAGCTTGCGAAAACAGAATTTTCTGCCACCCCCTGAAAAATAGTAGCAAAACACCGCAGAAATAACCAAAATATCCACGTATCTCTAGAATCATTCAAATATCATCCAATTCATTCAAATACGCACCTTTATCATCAAATCTGCCAATATGCCCCCCCAGCTCAGCGAATTTACCACCAATGAGATCGTACGCCTTCTAAATGATGGTTATATGCCTGCTCAGATTGCGCGGACCATTGAGTGCAGTCTGGCCACTGTATATCGAATCCAACGAAATATTCGCTGCTTTGGAACTGCTAGAAGTCCTCGTTCAACATGGGGTGTAAAGCCAAAGATCACACCGGATATCTTGTCAGGTTTGGAGGACTTTTTTGAGGCATATCCAACTGCATATCGCGATGAGGCTGTCTGCTTTGTGAAGGATGAATTTGATGTTGATATCCACCCTCGATCGATATCTAGATTGTTGAAGAAACTGAATTTGACATGGAAGAAGGTGATTAATTATTGCAATTGTCACTTATAGAACCTGCTAATCTGTCAGTTCTATTTGATATAGGTTGAACCTGTGGCCAGTCAACGCAACGAAGAACTTCGAGCTGAATGGCGTATTCAAGTTACTCAGTATCAACCTGATCAACTTATCTTTTTAGATGAGAGTGCTGCGAATGAACGTACTGCAGATCGACGATATGGATGGTCAAGCAGAGGATTCCCTTGTCGCATTAGAAGGCCCTGTAAACGATCTCGCAGATGGTCAATCTTACCTGCAATAAGTGTCGATGGATATCTTGATTATGATATATATCAGGGGTCCTATAATACAGAGAGGTTCAATGAGTTTGTACGTGTCCGGATACTGCCCAAATGCCAACGAGGTTATCACTACTTAGTGATGGATAATTGCTCTTCTCATCGTTCACAAGCACTGCGAGATCTCTGCAGAGAAGCTGGCATTGGACTTTTATTCTTACCTCCATATTCTCCTGATTATAATCCTATAGAGGAGTCATTTCACGCGTTGAAAGAATGGATTAGAAGATACAGATGTCAGTTAGAGAATCAGTTTGATGGAGATTTTGAAGCCTTCTTGCATCATGCAGTTGAGAATTTCATGGGAGAAGAAGATGCAAGAGGATATTTCAGATCGGCTCATATAGGATAGTATTGTAAAATTTAAAAAGATTCAGATTACAATTCAATTATGATGATATATAATATCTAAGTTTCAAATTCAGAAGCAGAAGCAGTATGAAGTCTGCTGTCATCATTACAAACAGCAGATAAAGACAATTTAATCTCCTTCAACTGTGACTGCCAGATAGAACTCTTTAACCCATTTCTTATTATCGAGAATATACCCATTCCAATATTCAACTGAACCACCTGCTCATTTGTCATTGTCCGTATATGATCCAGTTCAAATCCTTCATTCTGAATAATGCTCTTTGCAGTTAAAAGAGCTTCTGCTCTTCGAGGTCTCTCTGTCATCAACCAGTTGAAGAACTCATCAATAAACAGATCCGCGTGTTCACCAAACTGAGGGATTGGACTACTTCGAATAGGAGGCAGGTTCGGATTCGATGGCAGGTTCGGATTCAATGGCAGGTTCGGATTCGATGGCAGGTTCGGATTCGATGGCAGGTTCGGATTCGATGGCAGGTTCGGATTCGATGGCAAGTTTGAATTTGATGGCAAGTTTGAATTCGATGACAAGTTTGAATTCAGTCCTCCCATGCCTCCCATTCCTTCCATCATATATTTCATCACCATCACATTGATTATCTCACTTGGAGACACAATATTAGATGAAGAAGGAGTTGAGGGAGATATTGGATACGATAGAAGCTGACAGTCATATCATTTGTTGTGACATTCCGTAACTTGATCTTTATAGGCTCCTTTATCCCATTGATAATCACCCGTTCATACAGCTGAATGAGATCTCAGGCTCAGGGGTAGGTGTTCGCAGAAATCGAGGATCTTCTGACTGTGTCTCCTCCTCCTCCTCCTCCTCCTCCTCCTCCTCCTCCTCCTCCTCCTCCTCCTCCTCCTCCTCCTCCTCCTTATCCTCCTTCTCATCATCAGTTGGATTCTCGTCATTATCCGGAACATCCGGAACAGGCGGTTTGAACAGACGAAGGCGCAGGGTAGTTGGAGTCCTTTTACGAGCTTGCGAGGCAGTAGAACGGTGGGTGTTGCGGGGCATATTGGCAGATTTGATGATAAAGGTGCAGATTTGATGATAAAGGTGCGTATTTGAATGAATTGGATGATATTTGAATGATTCTAGAGATACGTGGATATTTTGGTTATTTCTGCGGTGTTTTGCTACTATTTTTCAGGGGGTGGCAGAAAATTCTGTTTTCGCAAGCTTTACGTCCGCCACAATAAGATGTTAGTTACTCATTCATCTCAGATCACCCCGTTGTACGCGCCAGGAAAAAGATCCAGATAACTACTCCTGCCATCCTGGTGAATCGCACCTGTATCATCCAGACTCCAGTGGCCAAAACACCAAGGCCCCGCGTTTATAACCCTCCAAAATCCATTTGCTACAGTGTACACAGCAAAACAAGCGGCTTGTTGTATTCCAATTCCGAAAATCAATACCCCACGGTCATCCCATAATTCAACAATGTTCAACGCCGTCCTCCGCAGGCTCCAAGGCGGGAATCTAGAAGTTTTCAAGGTATGCATGCAATGATATAATACTACCCTCACGTCACGCCGGCCCCTTCTGCCACCCTCCCTCTCCTCCTTTCCATTCTCAAAATCCCACTCAACTACCAACACACCATTCCACAGTTCGGCGTCTACGTCCTCTTTCCCATCGGATGGATGTACTACTTCGGCACAAACCTCGAAGAGCGCTTCTCGGTACCCGGTTTCTGGCCCACGAAAGAGCAATCGCATAAGATTCCCCTAGAGCTTGGTGAGATTGAGAAGGAATTGGCACGCATGGATAGGCAAAAAGCGTTGCGGGCGGCGCGGTTGCGAGAGCAAGGGGCGGAAAGTGGGAGCGGGAGTGGGAATGGAAGTGCAGCGGAAGATTCGTGAGAGATTTATTTTCGACGATACATGTATAGCATTGTCGGTCAGGCAAACTGGGGGAAAGTGGGGATGGGCATCTGCATGGACGGGTGTTGAAAAGGCGTTTTTGTCATCGTTGATTAGTATAGGCTCGGTTTCCGTGTGTATATAAATTTGATGGATACCATTTGGCAAGGCATCCTTTTAAGGAGTTGTTTGGGCTGGATAGATTGGCTCTTCTTTCTTATCTTCTTTTTGGGTTGCTTCCATTCCTTGATTCCCGATTTGGATGTGATGTATTTACTGTGTACATTTATTAATTCTCCTCTTTTCAAATCTCCCCTAATAGCATTCCCTTTCAATTGGATATGCATGCATTCAATAGGCGGAGTATAAGCTATTGTGGTCGATGGAGGTAGGGTTGGAGATGTGCAGTCCTTTTCAAGTAAAATTAAATAGAGAAAATACTGGAATAAATATCAACAAGAAAATATCACATCTCCTAGAAAAACGCCCCATTCCAACAGAGGCCAATAACCCCAATCACGACTCTCCGCCTACTGCCTTTCTTGCCGCCGCCCGCAGTTGTTTCAGCTGCTTTGTTTGTGGTTCAATTCGCCCTTCCTCCTACATTGCGGATAGGGCAGTTCTGGCCGCGCCGGAGACAGAGGTGGCAGATGCTGCCACAGCTGCCGCGGCCGCAGCGGAGGCGGAGGATACGGCAACGAAAGGGAAGTCTGTGAAGGCATCGCCTGCCCAGTAGTACCAGATGCGCTTGCTGATTGTGGTGACGTGATCGGGGAGGTAGACGTAAGCCGCTGTGAGGAGCATGGAGGTTATGAGGAGGAGGAGCGTGTCTAGGGGCTTGAGGTTAGCGTTTATCGGTTTCGGCCTTGGATGGAATCAAAGGCTAAGAGCCAAACGTACTGAAGACGAATTTCTCTGTGGCTGTAAGCATGTAGAGGGAGATGGTGACTTCATATTGATAGTTTTTCAATCGGAGCCAGCGGACGAAGGAGGTGATGATTGAGGGGGAGGATGTTTGCGACATGGCTGGGTTGGGTTATAGGTAACGAGGAAAATTCCCGCAGAGATGGTAGAGATAGAGCAGATGGGGTAGCAGGAGAAACAAGAAGATATCGATTTCGATTTTTTGGATTTTGCAGCCGTTTAAGGAATGGTAGTTAGTTTTCAAGGGGGCTTGTATTCAACTGCGATGACCTACTGACGGACAGACAGCCAAAAAGGAAACAATAAGAGAAAGGACGAATTGATTGAGTACGAGTGCACATATATATAACACCACAGCCAACTCGAGGGTCGTGTTGAAGCTGCTCATGAAGAGTTTACGCGGCAGAGCTTCCCAAGGATTTAGGATGCAGAGAACGCCATTCCAGGGACAGCCAATAAGAGGAATTGCTCGAGGTTAGCCGCAGCGGCTCCAACTTTATCATTCGCATCTTCGTCTTCATATGGCAATAAATATCAGAATCATTTTAATTTCTATAAAACGTAACCCATTCACTTCCTTGACTCCACTATTCATTCTCCAGCTGATGGAGACACCCTGAGGAACTTTTTCATCCCCTCCATCATCCTCAACCAGGGCGTGCGCCAACTTAACCATGTCTCTGTGGAGGATAAGACAACAATGGCAGCACCCAATTGGCTTGCTGAGGGTGTTTTCACACTGCTGTCAGTTATCCGTGAAGCAAATGCCACCCCGGCCCAAACTGGATCTGTCAGAAGTCACCGGCAGCTATCTGAAAGGAACAGGGCCTGGAGGACAGGCAATTGTGAGTATATATCCATCCGCTTTCTCTTATGCTGTCTATTATTATTAATTTACAATGTTCCCTTTCGATGGCTACGAAGACATCAGTGGCCCCAATTACCCTCTATGTATGAGAATATCATTTGCTTGTTAAACTGGATGTTCTCTACATACCCTTTTGGTATGCCCGTGCTCCTTTGAATTGTCCCATTTAGTATTTACCAGCTTGGATTCTGTCCTCTACCCCCAATATGTATATTGATATTGCCTAGTTGGACATTGGGCTTTTCAAAATAAGATATGTGTATGTGCTACAGTATATATTCGCTCTAGTCCTCCATTCTCGGGAAACCTGGGCAATCCATTGTATGTCCTTTGTAGGAAAATGACCTCTTACCTGCCGGACCACAAAAAAAAAAAAAAAAAAAAAGTTGTCTTCTGCTTCCTGGTTTTTTTTTAATTTTTTTGAATTTTTTTGAATTCTAATGAAACTACATACTTCAGAACAAAACAAACTCGGCGGTCCAACTCATTCACAAGCCCACAGGAATCGTTGTCAAATCTCAGGCGACGAGATCACGCACGCAGAACCAAAAGATAGCCATGGGTATCTTAGCGGAAAAGGTCGAGCTACAGCTAAAGGGTGAGCAAAGTCGGGCTGCTATTAAAGCTGAGGCGAAGAAGAAAAAGAAGGCTAGTAGAGAGAAGAAGGCACGGAGGAAGTACAGGAGATTGGAGGAAGAGAAGAGAAAGCTGGGAGTGGAAGCGGAAGAGAGAAAGGAAGAGGGCAGTGAGGAGGTGGACTCGACAGAGTCGGATGAGCCGGTGGACGGCTATGAAGGAGTGAATCCGGATAGGAAGGAAAGCGGTATACGCGAACAAATGAACAAGGCGAGCTCTGAGACATAGAGCTGGCGCTAATTTATGATGGTTTGGAAAGGTATGGACCATTGACCACTTTTCGATATTTATGTGTTGCTTCTTCTCTTTTTCTGAAATACGTTTTGGAACTAGATGACGGGCGTATGGTAGCTCTCAATAATAATCCTATATCGGATTCCATCAGCACAGGTGTGATACAGCAAGCTGACCTATTATAACTAGCCATCCTCATTGCTCTACGAGTGATCTGAACACCTGCAGCAGATCCTCTTCATACCACCCTACGATCCAATATTGTACCCCCTTCAATCAAAAGGTTTTACCAAAATTTAATCGTCCCCATTTCTCCTCCAAGGTCACCACAAAGGAGATCACCGTGCCCTGCACAACCTCTCGCGCAAGAATGCATCACGCCAATATCAGCGCCCCGTGAAAAACGGATCACGCAACCGTGGTGGAACTAGCACGCTTCCATCAATAAGATAAGCGCCTCTCTCATAGGCTTCCTTAGCATATGCTTCAGTACTAAACACAGTTCCTGGAGGGTTAACGCGCGTTTCCAGCAAAAATCACATCTCCCTTTTCCCAGCTTTCAGCAGGGCAGGGCACTCAAAGGTCAATATTTGAAGTCTGGGGAGACGGGAGATAACAGCCAATCACGTCATCGATGCTAGGGTTCTATTCGTCCACTGATATGCGGCGTGACCGTAGGAGGATCAACTTGGCATGTAGAGCTGCTAAGTTGGTGGAATAGCCCACTGCAGGGAAGTTCAGGTACATAGAATGAAAGGATGTTTTCGAAATATTTCAGCTTTCGAGCTAATAGGCGAGAGAATATGTGGGTTATGTCGTTGAAGTTGACGTCGTCCGTCTGGCTGGGTATGACTATCGTTCTTTTTTTTGATTTTTGATTGTTTTTTTTTTTTTTTGTCAGGGTGAATCATTTATTCAAAGACCGAGGACCCTCACTCGGGATCATGGAACATCCTTGGCAATGAATTACGGGTAATGCTCGAGCTGAGCGACGGAGACTGTAATAATAGTAGCGCTCACTATGCCGAAACCTCATTGGATTTTGTCCCAGTTGGTTTTCCAAAGCAAGGAGACCTACGAAGCAACAGATCTAAAATATACATACATATACTCCTTGATTAAGAGCTCAGTTATCAAAATCCATATGAATCATAAACATGTAACAGGACGGCAAGGAAGACGGATAGCAGAACACGCGGGCACTACCATATAACAGTTGAGCGTGTCTCCTAGTTACCTATCTAAATCAGGCCTAACTCATTCCTCGCTCCTTGTTTTCTCACCTCTCTCCAGCAAA